CTACAATTGGCCCAATTCACATCCATTGTAAGTTTTTTTTTTTAAGAGAGAAAAGGAGGAACAGGTGGACCTTTTGTGGTAATCAGCATGCTTTTGTGAGTTTAAATTTCTTCAATATTTTGGAAGAGGTTTGCTTTCACTGTGCCAACCTGAGAGGTTTCATATGATGCACTGAAATCACATCCATTTCATTAGAAATATACTGCTGTTTCTCTGTTCAAAAGGCTATTTTTTATCTCTAAGCTGTTGTTTTTGAAGAAAATGTTTTAAGTGTTTATTAGTCTGTGTCTTCCTTTTGCTTTTTTGTGCTTCGCTAGTGTGCTGTCTGCTGTAAACATTTTCCAGGGATTGACGCAACACTGTGAATGCTTAAATTAAATTAGATTAAAGCTCTTCTATTTTCACCCCACGAATTTGTGAACCCTCATTGATGTTATTCTTAGAACTGGTTTTGAAAACATGGTTTCTGCATTTAATACAAAATAGCAACATCATTATCAGTCAAGAACAAGCACTGAGTTGCGCATACTTATCATAAAATCGGCCCTTTCTGCAAATTGCAGCGTGAGGCATTTGGAACACTTAAATAAGTGCTTGGACAATCAATCCTGGACTCCCTCAAGTAGCCAGAGTGATACAGGTGTCTTGAAACCATTAAGGCTGATGACACCAACGACTTACACTGCCATGAATTATTAAATGTAATAATGGATTATTTATAAAACTAATGGTCCACACAGAGCTGAGGCGTTGTTTGGTCACGTCAGTTTGGTTGGGATGGAAATGTCATTCAGTTTATGCTACGCTTCTCATTCATTGCATTACATTGATCACGTCATTTGAATACAGGGACTAAAAGTAGCGTATGGTTGGACGAACAAAGCCAGACTGCAGAATGCTAAGTATGGGTATTAACGTCTGGTGTGACTCTTCCTCTGTCAAACAAGCGAAAATGGAGAAACTGCAGACCAGCTGAGAGAAAGCCGTGAGAGAAAGCTTAGTGCCAAACTACTTTAAATATGTCAGTGTAACCAGAGAAAAGCCATTTAAATAAAATAACTGTTGTGTGGCTCTAGAATTGTGACGAAGTATTCAAAGATATCTACAGTGTTTGGCCCATAACTCTCGTCTTCTGTAAAAAAACGTTAAGTGGGACCAATTTGTGAGATTTGCTTAATAATTTAATACGGCCTTAAACCAATTCACTTCAAGTGCCCAGATGGTGTTTTTATTAGGCAAATGTTCAGTACTCAAGTAGAATAAATTACACACCTTAAAAAAGCCCTATACTAGAGTACCTCCAAGCTCTGCAATCCACTGAACTCAGAATTATTCACCACATGCTGCTGCGCCGATATTCAGCTCAACAATAAAATGACGAGAAAAAGACTTTCCTGGATACCCGTCTGTTTGCGAATGGGCAAAACTGGTTTTGACATTGTGAACTAGAGTCAACAAACTCTGGTTCCTCCAAGATTTGTGATCATTCCGCAATGGTTCTTTCTCCAAGTAAAGATGTGTCTACAATCAAACATGGCATATCATGTGGATGCAGAATATCTCGCAGCTTGAAGCAGGGAATTCATTCACATTTGGTGGAGTGCTTGATATCAGTACCTATTATACTTCTTGTTTTAATTTTCACTGAGTAATAAAGTTGTACCAAACGAGCCTCTTAAACCAATCCTCTGTTTAGTATGCACAGAAGAATGTCAAAAAGTCAGGTAAACGAATTGGTCTGTCCTAATTGGCATAAACGAGCCCGCTCACATTTCTCGCATGTTTCTTTTGATTGGATCAGACTGGCGTCGTCCTTCTGATATTGAAATTGAGCTACCAACTCAGATGAGCGAGAAAATGTCAGCGTCATTAAAATGTGGACGACGGCCTTTTGATTACTTTCATTCTGGGCAAAAAGACTGTCGCCAAGGAAGTAAATTATGAATAACTTGGAGAGCTATATTCTACCTGGTCTCATGGCATAAATGTACCTGGGTGCACTTTTTAGCGAGACGCGAAATACGTACCAATAAGTACATATCACTGCAGTTTCCAAAATAAATGAACACTAGAGTCAGTAAAACTCCGACGCCTTTTATTCCTTTTCACACAAATTTACAGAGTTTTGATTAATAAAGCGTAATTTTCGCACAATTACTTGAAGAATATCATGTTATGACTTCAAAACAATATTAATATGCTGGGAGATTTGAAAACTGATGCTTTTGAACGTTAGCATCGCACATATCC